ATACAGTTTTCTTCTAATCAAGATACCCTACGCAATCTCAAAATGATGAATTTCTCCAGCCCCTGCCTTGTATGTTTTAACTTTTTTTAAAAACAAAATCCTCCTAAACCGTCAGATTTATTTTAACTGTCTTTTTTCTCTCCTAGTTGATGTTATGCATTAACACACTGAAATTAGGTTAGCATGAGTGCCAAGTTGATTAAAAAAATACAAAGGATATAACTGGATGAGGAAGGTTAGCAAAACCTACTACAACATGGTATAACATTCCATGATTGGCAAGGAGTACTAATATTAATTTTTAAAGCTTTTATATGAAATCAGTAGCAAAACATTATATAATTTAAAGTTACAGTCACAGTGATAAGCATTGTTGCATTCATATTTATTCTGTTGCTTTTGGAATGTGACTGCTGGGAGACTAAACTATTAAATGCTGCTATTTTCTGATATTCTAAACTATACATCCTGAAAGGCCAAGAAAAGTGAATATGCATAGAGAAAAAAGACTGGGAAAAAAATATGCCAGGATGTTGAAAATCATTACCTTTGAGTGTGGGGAGCAACTCGGACTAGACTAAGTTACTGGAATTAAGACTTACTCTATGCATCTGCTCTCCCACAATATGGCGCTGGGAGAGGAGGAAACAGCTTCTACACAGCTGCCTCCAGTTCAACCAATAAACTGTAGGACCTGCTCCTGATTGGAGGAGAGCAGCGTACTTGGCGTGTGGGTAGCAGAGTTGGGATTGGTGGAAGAGGACTATAAAGGAGGAGAGAGACAACATGCACCAGGAACATCTAAGGGGAACATCTATCTGAAGGAACACCTGTGCAGCCCCCGAGAGAGCCGGCCGGCGGTGTGCCGCTCCCCCGCGGAAGTGGGGAATGTGGCAGGGGGAACCGCCCTTCCACGGAGGTGGAAGGGACAGTAGCCAACCCGGGAAGAACCAGCAGCAAACCCGGGAAGGGCCGAGCAGACAAAAGAACAGCGCAGGGTCCTGTGTCGTTCCTCCACGAAGACGGGGAGCAACATTTGAGGGTTGGAGTAATGATTAATTTTTGGTGTTTCCCTTGACCTTTGTAAATATTATAAAAAATATATTGTGCATCTTCAAGCATTATGTTGAGTAATGAATGGACTTAGAGCAGAGAACAAAAAACCAGTTCAGCTCCTGCTCAGTTGGATCCTGCAATAGGTCATTTTTCTATTTCCCACAATAAATGTGAAATATTTCTGTAATAAAATGAATATAGTAAATATTATAAATAAAAATGAATTTAAAACAAAATGCCCAGATTTTTTATTTTTGTTTTCATTTTTTGTTGTTTTCTCTGTAAATACAATTTGGAGACTGTTTCCTGATTCACCCAGGAAATCTGTGTGATGATTTGACTCCAAATGAATGGAAGCCTTAACGCTACGCTAGAAGCAGGAAGCTATAGCTGTGTTTACTGTGATAATATTGTATCTGGAGGATCTGTGCCATATTAGGGACATGACAAGGCTGAGTATAGCACCTGAGGAGACCCTCAACTCTGGCTATTATTGAAGATCTGTGACTCACCTAGTAAGTCAATGTGAATGACAGCAGGCTTGAAAAATGGCTGTGTCCATAGCCTGAATAACTAGGGCCTTAGAAAGTGCAAGTCTTCTATTGAGGGCTCATTCGGAAACATCTGGAAATAAACTTGAAACTTGATGATGAAAAAAGCTCTTCTCTAAAAGTACTCTCATTTCTCTAATATGGATAGTTGTTGGCTACTGAAGGATAATGGAACTATTATGGGATTAAGGTTTATGTTTCATCCTGGACAGGAAACTGGAAAAAAAAAAAAGGAGGGAGGAGGAGCTGGTATCGGGAGCATTTTTTCAGTGAATCATTCTCAGAGCCAGTCTGCTCTCTATTATTACAAATATGTAATCCTTAAGATTTTTCAGAGATGTGTAACTATAGGAAGTGTCAGAAAAGTTTCAATATGGCCAAGTGTGAAGTAAATATTTGTAACAGAAAAATCATGACTAATTCTATAAGTGGCACTAACTTTATTCTGAGTAGTAATACAGAAGAAAGGAACTATCCAGTTATCCTGCAAAGATCTTATATAAGACTATAACTTTCAGAGTCAGACTTCCCTGAAGTTCTACTCCCAAACAAGTATGGAGCTCAGTAGCAAATAAAGATTCAGTGGAAGTTGGGAAGGTACAGGGAAGACAAATTTAATTTACCAACTAGATTGACTGAATGAGGTTAGATATACAAAAATTAAGATTCATTATTCTAAATGGAAAGAGACCATAGAGAAAGTGATCAAAGTCTTTATAAAGTCTTGACTTTGCATAAGTTGAGTGTGACCAGAACAATGACGGAGAATTCTTTGATTGTTGAGGGAGATTTTAAAAACACTTAAAGGAAATGCTATATACGTCAGAGAATAAAACTGGGATTCATTAGCCTCAGTGGGGATGACATATCATTCAAAGGGGATCCCTGAAAGGACATGCTCGAGTTCTTATTAAGTGACAGCAATAAAGTGAAGAGGACCATGATGATGTGATCTTTTGATAGAGCTGACTACCTGGTGCTTGGTCTGGGGGAGAGGGGAATTGGCAGTGGAGGGTAAAAGGACAAGGAGAAGAGCTGTGTGTGGCTGGGGGGTGCTGCTGCAGGGGCATGCATTCCTAAAGAGATACTCAGGAGCATGGCTGCCAAAATGTGAACAGCAGCAATCTCAGGATCATGGAGTTCCAGATGATAGTTCCTTGTGTATATTGTTGATTTGTTTGCATTTTTTATCAAGACTGTGTATTTTACAAATCAGAAACATTATTTTCATACTTCCATTAAAAATAGAAGGGAAGAGATGATAAATCAGAGATTTTCTGGAACTGAGAATCTACAAAGAATTATAGATTACAGTTAAAGGAGTCTGCTTTTTTTTTTTTTTAGAAAACTTTTATTTAATATAAATTTCAAAAATACAATTTTTGGATTATAGCGGTTTTCTCCCCACATAACCAGCTCCCACCTGCAAACCATTCCATCTCCTACTCCCTCTCCCATACCATTCTTCATAAAGATTCATTTTTAATTATCTTTATATACAGAAGATCAACTTAGTATATACTAAGTAAAGATTTCAGCAGTTTTCACCCACACAGACACACAAAGTATAAAGTACTGTTTGAAGACTAGTTTTACCGTTAATTCTCATAGTACAACACATTAAGGACAGAGGTCCTACATGGGGAGTAAGTGCACAGTGACTCCTGTTGCTGATTTAACAATTGACACTCTTATTTATGATGTCAGTAATCACCTGAGCCTCTTGTCATGAGCTGCCAAGGCTATGGAAACCTCTTGAGTTCACAAACTCCGACCTTATTTAGACAAGGCCATAATCAAAGTGGAAGTTCTCTCCTCCCTTCAGAGAAAGGTACCTCCTTTGATGGCCCATTCTTTCTGCTGGGATCTCACTCACAGAGATCTTTCATTTCTGTCATTTTTTTGCCACAATGTCTTGGCTTTCCATGCCTAAAATACTCTCATGGGCTCTTCAGCCAGATCTCAATGCCTTAAGGGCTGATTCTGAGGCCAGAGTGCTGTTCAGGACATCTGCCATTCTATGAGTCTGCTGTGTATCCCACTTCCCATGTTGGATCATTCTCTCCTTTTTAATTATTAGCAGACCCTGGTCTTATTTATGTGATCCCTTTGACACTTAATCCTATCTTTATGATCAATTATGAACTTAAACTGATCACTTTAAACTAGTAAGACAGCATTGGTACCTGCCAACTTAATGGGATTTAGAGTCCATGGCAAGTTTCTAGCTTTACCCTTAGGGGTAAGTCCAAGTGAGCATGTGCTGAACTGTACATCTCCTCCCTCTCTTATTCCCACTCTTATTTTTAACAGGGATCAATTTTCAGTTAGATTTAAACTCCTAAGAATAATTGTGTGTTAATTAAAGAGTTCAACCAATGGTATTAAGTAGAAAAAGAAAATAGAAAATACTAAAAAGAATAAAATAATAAGCTGGTCCTTGACAGTGAGGACAAAGGCTGATCAAGTCATTGTTTCTCATAGTGTCAGTTTCACTTGGTTTCCTTTTAGGTGCTCAGTTAGTTGTCACAGATAAGGGAGAACATATGATATTTGTCCCTTTGGGACTGGCTTATTTCACTCAGCATGATGCTTTCCAGATACCTCCATTTTGTTGCAAATGAGGCGTCTGCTTTGAAGTATTTTGCTCAGTTTTGTAGGGTAGGGCAACCTGCCCATTGCTTCTCTGTCAGTGCTAGAGTAGCTTTCCCAGTGTACTCTGGACTGACATCAAAGTGGTTGTTTGGTTCTTGGCTCCAAAATTCACTATGGGACAGTGTACATCATTCTGTGCCTTACCTTCGTATTAGCCTGGTCTCTTGTTTCCATATGCTCCCTCTCAGGGTTTTTTATCCTTAGCAACTAGACTTAAAATTCTGTCAGAATTTGTCTCAAGAGCACCCAGTGGTTTCCCATTTATATGTAATAAAATTTGGAATACTCACAGTGACCTCGAAGGTCCTCCCTTGGCTCCCCTCTCCATGCAGACCTCATTGCTATGTCTCCGACCCATCTATGTGTCCCAGATTTGTCTGGTTTGCTCTTCTTGGGTATCTGCATGGCTTTTTTTTTTTTTTCAGGGCTTCCTTCAGGTTCTGTTCAAATGTTACCCCATCCAAAAGATTGGGCTTGATTTTGCTTTCTAAAATATGACCCCTTTCCTTTCTTGGTCACTCTGTCTCCTGGCACCCATTTTCAATTTTCTTATCACTTATCACCTGAAATACATATTTATAGTGACTATCTCCCTCTGCTAAAATATAATCCCCAAATATAATCACTAAGCTAAAATTTTATTTCTTTTGTGGTTGCCTTGGTTGCATTGCTTAGGACGGTGACACATAGTAGGTACCCAATAAATACATGTTGTGTTCTGACATTTTTGTCTTGCAGAGAGGTTGTCACATTCAACCATTTTCTGGAAGCAGCAGCAGAGAAGGAGGTACAAGGGAAAGCTCGGCTCCAGGACTTCATTGAGAATCTGTTGCAGCGGGTAGAACTGGCCGAGAAGCAATTAGAGTACTATCAAAGCCAGCAGACCTCCGGCTTTGGCCGTGACATCAGCGAGCATGTGGTGAGTCCCAGTGGCCCAGCCACCAGTGTGAGGTCCTCGTGTTCTGTGAGAGTGGGTTGAGGACTAAGGGAGAGGAAGCCAGGTGCCTGCCAGCAACTTTCCAGACATCATTTGAAAGCCCTGCCTGGGTGTGTCTCTATTGGGAAAGTGATAGAGGTGAATCCAAGGCATGTGGAAGTAAGCTAAATCCTGGCTGCACCGTTTCCAGTTCTTCACTCTCCCACGCCATGCCCTGTGGAGTTGGTAGCATTATTTTTGTATTTGTAAAATATCAGAGTTTGAAGTATCCAAAGAAATCACTCATTGCAGCCTTGATGTTCCAGTGGGTTAGAAGTTTATTCTGTTTTGGAGTCTGCCAGAGAATCTTAGGAAAGCTCTGGCCCCTCTCAGTAGAGCAAGATGCAGCCACATACCATTTTTTCTTTTCGCTAACAGGGAGGCAAATGCTGTTCAGTCATCTCTATATGTTGGACATTCTGTAGGTAGTTTGTCAAAACAATAGGAAAGTTTACAGGTCATAGCACTGTAATAGGTTTCTGTGTACAATTTTACATGTCATTTCAGGGACTTGAGAAATCCTCAGAGCCAATCCCAGATGAGAACCCTGGATGTGGAAATACAGACTTTCATAAGTGGCTTGATCAACTCCATGGTCTCTTTGGAGGGTGGGAGGAAGTACAAATAACCATACTTAGGTGAAGGAGGTAGCTATTCATTTTGCCCTCTCTGGTGATACAAACAGCAAAGCTAAAGAAAAGAGGTTTGATACTCCAAAATGATATGTTTATAACAGCCTCGTTATTTATTGCACTTTTTCAATTTTTTAAAAGATTTATTAATTTATTTGAAAGGCAGAATGACAGAGAACAAGAGGGAGAGACAGAAAGAGAGTGATCTTCTGCCCACTGCTTCACTTCCCAAATGGCCACAACAGCTGGTGCTGGGCCAGGCTGAAGCGGAGCAGCCGGGACCTGAACCAGTGCTCAGATGGGATGCCAGCTTCGCAGGCAGCGGCTTAACCCGCTGAACCACAGTGCCAGCCCCATCTTTCTCAATTTTTAAACTTGAGAATTTTTAAACGCTTCTTTTGTATGCCCCTAAATGGACTATATTTTAAGAGGAAAATTCGGAAACATTTATGCCAACCAAAGATTAGCAAGATTGCTGCTAGTTGACTACAAAGTTTAGTTTGTACTTTTTGGAAACTGAGATGGAAGAGAAACAGGATTACGTAATATAACTATCTCAAGAAGGAATAAAATGAAAGGCAACTGGATAAAAGAAGGAAGGGGTGTAAGAAGCAGGTGATGGGTGGGGGTGGGGAGAGAAATGAAGAAATTGTACATAGTGCTTACTGTGAGTAATATACACTCAGCCTTAGAGCAATACAGTGATACACATCCCAGAACTTTCCAGAACAAACAGGAAGGAAGTGATTTGTGACATCTGTGGGGTTTCAACACCTATTCAAGGCAGCCTCCTCTCTAAGACATGTTTATTACCTTCCCATTGGTGTCTGTGGTCTGCTGGTAATGCCCCTGAGGGGAACCATCACCTCCCAACTTGATCCTTCCTAGTCTCTTTCTTGGGAGCTCATGAGGGTGTCCAGTCTTGACAGCTATTGCTGAGGGGACCCTATCTAAGTCCTTTCCTGCTTCCCTCTTGCCCTCTCACAGGAGGGGATTGTGGCATGAGGTCAAGGAGCCCAAGTGGGAGGTGAAAGGCTTGGCTTCCAGGTCATCTTACGTTCTTCTTGCTGGGCCTGTAATTCTTCTGTGTACTGAAGGGTCAGACTTGATGCTCACTAAGCTGCTTTGGTCTCTTAGATTATCTGATCATCACCTGATTTTGATGGTTAGGATTTCAAAATTAAAATGTCATGTTAACATTTCCAGTATTTAGGCTTATAAGTCACCCAAAGCTAAGAAGTGTGTGAAATCTTCCCATCCTAAGCCAAGAGAAATCTTAGAGGAAGCAATGGAAAGCAAGGAGGGAAAAAGCAGTTCCATTAGTTCTCTTTTTTTGTACTTGTTTTCTCTCTTCCTGTATCGGTTCATTTCTCCAGCTTAAAAAAGGAACACCTTTCAAGAGACTTAGCCAGTTTTATTTCTCATCACACTATCAGATAATCCAAAGTTGACTTGTATCTTGGCTCTTTTATACTTATATATTTATACAAAATTATATATATGCATATATTTATATACATGTATACACATGTACATGTATGAGGATACTTCCAAAAGTTCACAGAATATGGAATTAAAAGATATTCATTTTAGTGCAAAAATTGTTGAAATTCATGCATGGTTTTTTCATAATCAGCATTTTCCATGAAATTTTAAAGATTGCTCATAAGCATGGATTTTAAAAATTTTTTGTACCAAAGTAAACTCATCTTTTCTTTCTATTTCCCACAAACTTTTTGAAGTACTGTTGTATATGCAATAAATGCACATGCATACAAATATGATGGGAGATTAATAAATACTTGTGTTTATACTTTCTGTATCACAAGCATGACATCATCTGCTTTCAACAGACCTGTGCTACCTAAGGAAGAATTGACTAATTCAGATGAAATAAAGTGCTGTTAAGGATAAGATTGTAGCAAGGAATTTAGAAGCGAGTGCTGTGTGTGAGTGGGGTGTGATCGGGCGTTGGTGGCTGTTGGAGGACACGTCACCTGGGAGGACTGCGAAGGAGGGGCACTTTCCAGAAGCACTGGGCACACACAGTTTCCCCTTGTGTCCACATACAGTCCCTTACACTCGTTTGTGGATCATAATGTGCTGAGTTGTGAGACAGTTTACAGATGCCATAGGCCCTTTCTCCTTTTACTTAGTCTGTTTCATTGTAATGACATGCATGTGCCTTTAATATGAGGAGCCATGTCTTTAATACAGTTAAAATGCTAAGTCTGGCCTCCCCAGTACCTGTGAGTACACACACTCAGAATAACTAATGCTCTTTAATGGGGGAAAGCTTTGAATCTTCTCTTTAGTAACCTGTTTGGCCAGGTTTACTGAAGGCATAGGACACCCTGAAACCCAGGCTTCTGGAACCTCAGTCCAGCAGGACAATTCCTTGCCTTGTGCACCCCAGCTTGAGCAGAAGGTTCTGCCCAAGTCCTCAGCCCTCTCCATGCTTGCGCACCTGATGTGCCTTCTAAGGAGCTGGCAGGATGCCATCTCCAGTCTTGTTCTTAACATCTCTGCTGAGGCTGTACTGCAAAAAGTGAGCCTCTTCCTCGCTGACATCCACCTCAGCAGCCCCTCTCTGTTCTTCCCTCTTTCCTGTAGCCTCCTCCAGAGAGTGCGGAAATTCCCAGATTGATTCGTAATTTCTTTCTAAGGTGACTCCTATTGTTCAGAGTCTTCTGTGCCATGAGAAAATTCCTCCCCCTCCCATGTGTGCCTTTTCTGAAGCACTGCTTTGGCATCTGTGTCTTTCCCTGAATCCCCTTGAGCATTTGTGTTCTTTTTCACCTAGCTGATTTCTAAAAATACAATATGCTTACTCAGGTGTTTTATCTTTCTACTCTGAAAAATGCTGTTGAATTAGACACAAAGTGACCTCATATCCCATCTGCCAAAATCACTTGGGGAACTGCTCGAATGGAAGGTCATGAAACAGCTTGGATAATGTTATTTAAAGTGTTGCATTTATTTCCTGCAGGTTGCTAAATTAGAACCAGCAGTAATTCATTTAACACATGTTTATTGGGATCACAGCATCTACTGGGTGCTGAGGAAACTGTTGTGAGCAAGACGGATGAGGAGGACGCGACAGACCGTCAGTGAATAAGAGTCATCCGCACCATAAAGACAGAGCGCGAGGGGACGTGTTTGAGATGACCAGGGTGGGGAACCACTTTAGATACAGTTGATCAGGAAAAAGTGTCACTGAGGAGGCGAGGTTAGCACTGTGACCTGAACAAGGAGGAAGCAGCTCTGCGGAAAACTGAGAGAGAAATGTTCCAGGCCAGAAATAAGCAATGCAGGTGCCTGAGGAGGGAGCAAGTCTGGCACGGCTACATGGTAGAAGATGGAGAGAGCTAGGGGGGATCCAGCCATGGGGCCTTTCTGGTCACATAAGGAGATTGGATAAACTCCCCAGCACACAGAGAAGCCAACAGAAGGTTCGTAACAGGTCGTGACCTATGTTTCAGCAAAAATCACTTGGACTGCCTTGTGGGGAATGGCTTCAGGCACCAAGAGTGAGAGGAAAAGGAGGTAAGGGCTGTAGCAGCCAGTGTAGAGTGGAAGGAGAGAAGTGATGGTACAGGGTGTGTTCTGTGGGTAGGCATGACAAGATTGGTTGGCCTTGCTGAAGGATTAGGTTTAGTGGGTGGGAGAAAGAGAGCAGTCAGGAAGGAACCGAGATTTTGGCCTTAGCAGTGGGTTGTACTCTGCTGCCATTTACTCAGAGGAGAGGTGGGAGAGGGTCTCGGTGTCCAGTTCCCCCAAGCACGCAGTAACTTGAAGCGCACCGTGTTTATATCTTAGACGTACTTAATTTGACTTTCAAGGTTATTTCTGTTTTTCCCTATCTGAGCCTTGATCAATGACTCTATTCATTCCTGTCTTAACATCCTTTCTTCCCTAAAGAAAGAGAAGACAGAGTAGTTAGACAAAAGACAAAGGAGATATGTAGATGGACTAAGTAGGAAGAGCTTTTCCATCGACCTGAGTCCACAGCAGCCTGTGTTCATAGGAAGGAGAGCATGGGAAAAGCTGTGATGACTATGACCTCAGGCCCCGCCTTCACCCCAGCCTCTTAAGTTATAGGGTCTCTGGAGACATTCTAATATGTTTGTGTGTGTGTGTGTGTGTGTGTGTTTATATGTGTGTCTGCTTCTCTCTCTCTCTTAATTTTGCATAAAAATTTGAATGGTATTCCATGTACACGTGCAAAAATCATTCAGTTGTAGCATACATATGAGGAGGTCTGCAAGAAATTCAGGGAAAATGTGCGTTATAAAAAAGCTATGCATGAATTTCAAACTTTTTTGCATCTTTGTAAGCTCATCTTCATCTTTCATAAACTTTTTGAAGTACCCTCATACATACAATAAGATGACTAAATTTTGTTATACCTCTGTAATAATAATAAGGGTGATGGGAAAAAGCTTTAAAGGGAGAAAAGCCCTGCACATTTTTTATGGCTACACATAACTGAAGTCCATTCAGGGAGCCCAGGTTAGAAACACTTACTGGTGATTGTGTTGAGGGTAGTAGGGGCAGGCCAGATCGGGGAAGGGGAAATGCTGATGCCTTTGAGGTCCCCAGAAACTGTCAGCCTGGCATTTGCCTGAACCATCTGTATCACCTTCTTTGAATGTTGCTTTAGTTCAGGAACCATCACGTCAAGATGGTGCCTTCTGTGTATAATTCACTAATCTCATGCCAAACCGAGCTGGCATGAACAGGGTCGGAAGTATTGCTGACTTTTGATTGTGTCACAAGACAGAAGGCATGATTCCCCCTTTTGCCTCATCGAGGACATGACCCTCAAAAGTCTTTTTAAGGACACTTCCTTCTGGCTTGCTCCTGATTAAAGCTTAAGCTCCATACAGTAGAACTAGGGTAGTGATCCTGTTATGCTGAGCTTGGTTTGGGGGATTATTTTAGTATATAGCAAGAGCACACGTGTCAGCCACAGTAGCCCAAACACCAAGGTGGCCCCTTTCTCTGCATTTTCTTTGTCATTCTCATGTTAGTTTGTCTGCTGACATGACATCCCTTCATCTAGTCAAAGCTGCATGAGACAAGTTAGGAACTGAAGGCTGGGAATATACTGGATTTGCCTAGAAGCTGGATGGTGACATCTGGGTCACAAGATGATAATCAAAGATTTGTTCTGCAAATGAAGGCATTCTGAGCCCATCCACAGAAGTGCATGCAGATAGGTTATTGCATGAGTTACTAGGAGTGGGACATAATCTCAGTGATAGGTGGCCTCAGGGGCAATTCTGTGGTTAGTCTTCATGTGCTCTCGTTTCAGAAATGATGTATTTTCAGCAATAAACACTTTATGCCAATTTTCTCTTGGATAATACTTTGTACCAGTCACAGCTGAAGTAAATTAGCTGCAAATACAATCCAGTCAATCTAGAATTAATGGCACATCATTGCAGTTTTTATCAACATGTTTCTTTAAGCATTGCTCTTTGGGGAGGGAGGAGTCTTTGACTTTTTGGAGCTTTTGAGATCTGCTGATACAGACTCCTTGGGAATCTCAGAACAAGTGCCTGCTAAGGCTCCCAGCGTAAGCAGAGGCCGAGACATACTTGTTCATTGGTGTGATGCATGGTACCACCGGGAATGCCACTGTTAGCAGTTACTTTCTCTGTGTCAATGCAGTTGCTTAAAAATGCAAGAAAAATTTTGAAACCAAATCCAACATTCAAGCAAAGTAATTTTTTTTCTTATTTGTTTTCCTTCAGCTTACAGATATCTCCTCAAATAGGAAACCCAAATGCCTGTATGTATGTCTTTTTGAACTTAGGCCATTTAATAATGTGTGTTGCATGTTTCTCTGTTGAATTTCATACCCCTATATCTATAATATAAGCGAGTTTGAGAAGTTTAGGTAAAAATTTACCTCTATTTGTACCTAATTTTGTGAAATGTTGATGTGATGTTCAAGTGTATATGAAGCTGTGATAGTCCTAGAGCAGTATTGTCACAGTATTTTATAGTGTAGCTCACCCTTACTGAGGTGTGGGACAGTCATAATCGCGATAGGACTATTAATGGAGCATGCATGATACATTATCTTTGTAATTCATACTGCTAATCACATCCTTTATAACATCTTTACAGATTTGGCTGATTCCCCTAGTAGTCACTTAAAGCATCAAAAGTTATCTCTGATACCATATCAGCTTTCATTGAAATTTTCTGTGCCTCAGTCTTATCATGGGTAAATAGGTCTTATAATATCTCCCTGGGAATTTAGTCTCATGCAATCATTTTCTGGAGGTCACAGAAATTTTTAGAAGAAAAATACCAATGTGTACATATCATTCATCATTCACCACTGTACCACACAGGAATGATTGTGCTATGAGTAATTGCTATTCTCTTAAGTTTTAAAAGAAATTTTTCTTTCTGCTTATGTCCTCCCCAACCCCACCCCACCCTCTGTAGCAGCCGGGGGCACCCACATTCTGTATGTAATCATCCAGATCTCAAGACGCATTTCCATCCAAAGGGAAGGAACCACCTGAAGAAGGCCAAGGACGACAGAGCCAGCATGCAGCCTGCCAGGTCCATGCACGAACCTGCCGAGTCCTCAAGGGAACTCTGCAGACTGCCCAAGAAAGGAGAGTTCCTTGGGTTTAGCCGGAAAGGCAACATCAGGCCCAAGATGGCCAAAAAAAAGCCAACAGCAATCGTGAACATCATCTAAAAGGGTGAGAGGCTTTGGATTGCTGTCGCTGGGCTTTGGGGAATATAGTTCCAGGGGCCAGCAGAAATACTTTCGGACACATCTCATAACAGGACACATTGGAAAAGCAGAGGGTGACACATGCACAAGCACCACAGTTGACCAGAGTGTAACATCTGGGAATCCCAGTGAACCAGAATTTCATTATAACCCCCTTAGAGAAACAAGAGGCAAATCACAGAAGGATTTTTTTAATTAAAGCAATCTTATCCCAAAGCTTTAGTGAAACAAAGTTCCAGCTTTTAAAATAATTGGTACAGACTCTAATACTTTTGGCCCCAGGGCTCCTTTTGCAGTGGTCATTAATCCTCAGACCCAAGGCCATTGAGGACGCCAGGCGCAGGGAGAAAAGTCTTTTGTGCCCATGGCTGTCTAAATTGGGAGGCAAATCGGAATGTAAAGTTCCTTTTAAAGCTATGAGATAAAAATATTTGTGTGTGTGTGTGTGTTTTTAACCTTCTCAGTGAATTTACAGGCCTCCAACATAAAGATTGCTGCTCTCCCAAGATTCTGGTTCATTGAGATTTCAGTCTTAGGGTGGCTTTAAGGGACTTGTTCATTCCGACTTCAATTCTCATTCAATGGACTGTTTTAGTTTGTTTGCTTGCTGCAGGATTTTGTGTCCTGGATGTGTGTTTATTCAGATTCTGATACACTCTGCTGTCATCTTTGGCTGAGCATTCTGCTTCTGCAGACCATGCTGCCAGCCTGTATCTTAATGGCTGTTTGTGCGGCTGTGGTTGGGAAGATAAAGTCTTTTGATCAGCACCCACCATTGGTGCCCTGTCTGAGTGGTTGTGATGGCAGCAGATTGCAGTTGTAAGCACTGCAGGTGTCACTCAGGGCGTGTCAGCAGCTTGCTGTGTTAGCAGTGGCCATGACCTTCTCTTTGCTAGCTTAAAGTTCCCACCCAGCAGCTCACTTCACCTCCTGCCACATCTATACCCATCCACAACTGAAATATACAGGGTGTCTGCTTACCTTTTGGTCACGTGCCTGGGGTGTTCAGTGAAGTCATTTCTGAAGTAAACAGTGCATGTAGGATCCAGAACCTGACCACGTCCTCCCAACGTCCCTCTGTAAAATAGCTCTTGTTCCCACAAGAACCATCTCTCCAGACTCTCCTGCTTTACCACTTTCTTCAAGAATGAATTCCCATACTGGAAGCAAGAATACATTTCTCCATAAACATATACATATGTACATATATATAAATAAAACATAAAACGTATGTCAAATAGATTAATAATTTATTTTTAAAATAATCCTGGAAAAAGTGTGTATTAATGGTGAGTGGCTTTTAAACTATATATGTTCATGTAAACTGAATTCTCTTATTTTAAAATTAATACTGTAACCTAATTAACATTAGTGGATTTATGATTGTTAATTCAATAAGCATCCAATTAGCAGTGCATTTAAAATAGATAATAAGCAGTTACTTAAAATGCCAGTAAACTGAAAATGTAACTTATATAAACATTTTGAACCTATCGTAGTGAAACATGTTGGTATTTGAGTATTCACTTTGACTTTTGGCTTATGTGGGTGGACCATCGTGTGCTGTACAGGCAGCCATCAAGTGGGAAAAAGCTGTGAATATTGCTGTGAATATCACTGTTTAGGATAACATTGTAAAAATTGTAATGTTACATTTATTTGGAGAATTAACCTCCTCTGAAGTTATTTATTATTGATGCTTATACCATGATTGCACTTTAGCTTTTTCCATACTAAAAAAATACAAATCTGTTGTATTGCATGCTCTTTCTCCTGTAACACATATGCAGTGACAACAGCTTGTTTTTAAAGATGGGATAGCCCGATTTTTTTTCTGTTTCATTTAAAGTAGCTTACATTTTTGATTTTCATGTAACATACATAGGGAGCATGTCAGCCCTCTTTGACAGTGGTACCCACTGATATTCAGAAAGCACCAGAATGTCATATCTACTGTAAACACAAGACAAATGGTTTTGAGACTCATTTATTAAATGTTTCTTTAAGGTTATGACTAAATAATGACTTTATACAAGAAAGTGTCTTAAATATGTTGTGCTTCCTTTGAGGCATGAATTAGTGTTGAAATATGGGAGCTGACTCACTCGGAAGATGGAGGCTACTCCATCCCTCATGGCCTAAGCTGGGTGTTATGTCATATTTTTGTCTTATTTTTAAATATTTTCTTTGTCCCCAGGGGCAGTTGACTTTAGACTTGAGGCAGTTGGTTTTTTGAAGGAGCCACCAAAATTTCTAGACAAACATGTTCAAGGTTAAACCAGAGAATAGACCTAATTTTGTTATGTGTTTTGTAAGGAAGAAATCTTCATTTGAATTGCTCTTTCTCCTTTTTCTCTACACTAGGTTACAGACTGTTAATCTGCAAAGTTCAGTTTGCTTAGACACTGTTTTCCAGTATTCTGCAGGGTCAGTCGGTAGTACAGAAGTTGGAATATTTATTCCAGAATTTAAAAAAGAAGTTTTTAGATTATGAAATATTATGATAATAAAGCTATATTTCTGACTAATGTGTTGGTATGTTTTGTCTAATTGAAGTGTTTTGGGGGAGCCAGTTGTGTTGGCTTATAAACAAAATGGTCCTTCATGAGTGATTGCTCATTTTATATATAATCATGATTTTTGTATACCTGTAAACTTTCTTAAACCTTAGCTTGGTCACTTTTGTTCTTCCTGATGCCTCTATCTAAAAGTTCTTTTCACATGTTCACACTGAGACATCCTCATTAAAAGCCCATTTGGCACTTTTTTCTCCATCTTCCTCCACAACTATGAGTAATTTTCCTACACTATTTTTAAACTTGTCAACTCTCAGCAAAAGCCATGAACAGATTTCACAGTATATACCAACCTATATATGTTATACATGCCAGTTACTGCAGGGCTCTCTCTGAGTGATCTGGGTAGATAACACAAGTATATCACTGGTAGAATGACTCAGTCATTGACCTAACAACCAGGGAATTAGGTAAACTGGGGGGCCCCACTTGTTCCATAGCTGTTAGAATTATTGAGGAGGTGACTCTAGTCAATTCTTAGTTATTTGCATAAGCTTAGTTGGTTCACCAAGCTGTCGTGTTTTTGAGAAATTGAAATGATGTGTTTCATTATCTCTGGCCAGTGGAAAGCAGAAATCCCAGTACCTTTATTCTGCTTGTTTTGATTCCTTCAAAAATGGGTTGCAGGAATGGCAGGCACGTATGAACCCAAACACAAGTCCTGGATCAAAGATATCAAGTACTTAATAAGGAAGCATTTTAGAGATTAATTCCTTTTTGTGGAATTAAGGAAGTGAAATTCTCTTTCTTTCTTTCTTTCTTTCTTTCTTTCTTTCTTTCTTTCTTTCTTTCTTTCTTGTCTGTGTTCTGTTGTATGTAGAGTGAACACATCTGAAATTTGCATTTAAGAAAGGGATGTTCAGTCTGTAGCTCTATAATGGATTTGCTTTGGATTTGCAGCCAAGTATTCCAGAAAAAAAGAGTTTTTCCAGTAGGGGATGCTCAGTGTGTATGCAGACTGTGCTCTTCCCTTCCTGCTGTGGGGGTGCTAATCAGTTTTGCAGGTACAGAAGCAGGTGCCTAGGGTGGGAAATGAGGAGTTTGATATCTGTGCCTTGTAAGAAGAGGAAACATTACCGCTGCCCTTGAATATCTGGAAGTGTTACTAAAGACTCTCACTCTGTGTGCCTGCAAAAGACATGTCCACAACCATCAGTGAGAAAGGTTCTAAAAAAGCCAGGATCAAATAATCGAATGAAAAGTTTCTAACTGCTGTGTGGAAAAGGTTACCTTGTTAAAAAGTGAGCTCCTGGGACTGAGTTACTGTTTCCTTTATAGTAGGTGAGAGTCTACATTGGGTAGGAACTTGGACAGGGGACTAGTGGCTTTGGGGTTCTATTGTTATTTGTACTGACACCACATTAATGGGAATGTAGACAAACTGATTTTAGAGATTTTATTTTACTGACATGGATTTTGTCAAATTTCCCATCGCATTTCTCCTGCTTCAGTCCCTTCGAGGCAGGTCAGAATGAGGAGGGCTAATTGTCTTCTTTAAGTGTGTGGAGAAGCGGCAGTTGAAAAATGAGAGGTGTGCATCTGGCGTTGTTACCTCAGTCAGCGCGATGTGCTTCTGGGAGTGGAGGCATCTCATTGAATATGGTCTCAGTGTTTAAAAAGAGGAGCATTTTTGTTACAACATGGCTCCTGAAGGCAGGCCAACCACCTCATCTGGTGTTCGGTTGAATCAACAGCAGTTCCTTCCAACACTGGAGGAGAAATTGGCAATGCTCGGCTCTGAGATGGTATATAACACATCAGGCTCCAACACTGTGCTTTCCTCAGGCATTTTCCAGATAGTTTTGGTTACACTTCAACTTTGTCTTTCTTATAAAAAACTTAGGAAGGTAACGTCGTACCAGGTGACAGTAAATATGATGGTTTCAAAGAATCCCCATAACAGAGCCAGGGTGAGAAACATGCATTGATTGTCCTTCAGCATGTCTGCCAATGATCTCCTTAGAGCATTGTGCCTTCTCACTGGCGGAAGTCCCAGAAAATGCTCTTAAATATATGCATTTGTTGATTGCACAGGGAACTGAATGTCTTACAATTCAGTTTAATAGTTATCAACTACTGCATCTGTTTTAGGCAAGCCCTTGTAATCTTGACCTCGACACCCTTTAGAACACAGCCAACCCAACTTGCCAAGAGTTCCAGGGTCTCAGATGGAAGTCTGTTAGACTTGAATGCACACACTTTTGTACACTGCACATTGGTAGTTTGCTGACTGATAAGAGCTGATGATTGCCTTCACCTTGGTCAGATAGATTCTAGAGAAACTGAAAGCCATTTTCAAAACTCCACCTGTCATCTTTTTCATTCCTAATTCTCTGTTCAAAGAGGAAACTCCACTTTCTCATTCTGTGGAATGTATTTGCTTTGTTTT